TTTAGTGCCCATATAATAGCTAGAAGTTCTGTTGTATACACCGATACCCCCTCAGACAGTCGTTTAAGCTTTACATATTCATATTGTGGGATATAAAAAGCAAAGCCTGACTTCCCAGTTTGTGGATCTTGGGATCCATCTGTATATATCTGAAGATAAGTTCCCCACTGATTTTCCAGTCTTCGCTTTACCATATTGGGATACTCTGTGCCTTCAGTCCTGCGGCCCGCGAGACGTAACGGAAGTTAAAGGAAGTTGAAAACGTGATGACGTTTATCTCTGTCTACGTAAATATATAACTATAAATTAATAAGAGACATTATATTTTTAATGACAAGATTATTTTAACCTCTTTATCTTTAATGAGAAATATTAGATTCACAAATGCAAATGGTCTAAAAAGAAACCACAAATTCAAAATAAAAATCAGACATCGACGGTATCGATGACCCGGGCCAACGACCCCACTGAGGTTAAATAGCTGAGTTTCCCTGCCAGTCAGTCAGAACTGAAGAAGTCCGTTGGATGAGGGACGAAACGTCTTCCAGTATCTTCAACCAAGTCCAGTTGCCCTTGGTTTTAACCTTCGTTGGGGAACTTCCTTCACGTTTGTCAGCTGCAGCTGGATCTCCTTCAGATACAGGAGGAGATCAGTCTTTCTCCTGTTAACAAGTGGCCGTTTTCTGATAAAGCAACATCATCTTAGTAAAAAAAACTTGTTAGAGGAGAAATTAAGTTGCGATGGTAGCAGCAATACAGTGCCTGAATTTATTACATTAACATTGTGCTGTAATTTGAGTTTTCTCTTCTCTAGTTTTTATTTCATTCTTATTTTTATTTGATATAATGATAATTTTTTATTTATTTGTACGTTCGCAGTGGATAGGTCTAAGTATGCCTTTTGGGTGGTAGTCCGGGGTTGGATCCAGAGGCTTGTCACACCTGACATATCAAGCAGTGTTGGGCAGTAGCGTCGCTACAAGTAGCACCGTTACTATTTTAACTACATTTCTCAGTAGCTTGGTTTCACATATAAACAATAAAAAATATATAATTAATTAATCATGTGATAATTAAGTTACTTTGTACAAACAACAATGGTTGATGAACTACATTTAGCTGAAATGATATGGCACTCAGTAGGAGTTTCTCTCTTGCACACACTGTTTGGAGCAGGTTTTTAGTCTTTCTTCTATTGCTACTGTGGAATGAAGTTAGTTCAATATAAACTAGGCCTAATGTAGCTTGTAGCTTGCCCAACACTGAGCTATTGTAAGTCTCTTTGGATAAAAGCATCAGCTGAACTAATAATTCTTGTTCTGTATTTCTGTCATTGTGCTGCTGTAACACCCGAATTTCTCCTCCAGGGATCAATTAAGAACCATCTTATCTTAAATTTGTGTTATTAAATCCAACTTGCACTAAGCCTCTAAAACTCTCGGCTGGACAGTGTTCAGGTTGGATGAACACATTTGTGGTGGAAATGACTGAAATCTGAAACTGCAGACGGTTAAATCCTCTAATGAGTGTTACACTCTCGCTTCACTTCATTCTTATTAATGTGACTCACAGATTTTAAAAGACGTATAGAGGCTTCAAAAATCTACATTTGTGTAAATAATATTTGTCAGCAGACTCAAATCTTTTTGTCCTGCAGAGTTTATCAAAGCAGCATTACTATATTGGTAGAGGGAGACTCTGTTCTGTTCTTCAGACTCCAAACAGCCTTAAAACAAGTTCAGGTAATTAAGTTTACTTCAACATTGCTGAGGACCTTTTACCTTTCAGAGCAACGTGTTTGAAAACTCTGAGGAGTGCAGAGGGTTAGACTGGTGGACTAGTTACACGCACAGGCAAAGATTCATGTGTTCTGCCTCTGATTTGCAGGAGGGGTAGAGTGTGAGAATATATAGACTGCATACGCCAAAACTGTAAGATGTTTTAATTGATATACCGCTATTATTCTGTCATTACGTTCTGAGTAATACTGTAACATTTTAACTTAAATCAAGAGACATCTGTCAAAAATTCATGGCTTGTGAAACTTGTGAAGCGCTTTGGAAAAATTAAAAGCTAAACAGAAGTAGTAAGAAAGAGAGCTGTCACTTTATTATTATAAATCGACTTTAGCGTACAGGTGTGGTTACAGTTCTTGTCTTTTGTTGGCTTTTAGTTTATATAATTCCTATTAATGCACAAAAGCAAAATCACTCTAAGTTAAAAGCTACTTTGCAATAAACCTGATTTTGAGCTTGTTGTTTTGGTGATGAAGTCTGGCTATTTTCTTGGAGTCTGCTTGTTGATTGGTCGGCTGATCTAATGGACTGTAAAAGTGGACATTAATATTCCTCCAGAAGTGTAAAAGGGAATAACAGCAGCAGCAGAGGCTCCGAATGTCTTTGTGATGATTGCAAATGAAGATGATTCCATGTGTGTGGAATCCAAATCAGAAATGTCTTAATGTAATACATCTTTATTGCTCTCTCAATCTGGGGCCTGAATCCTGAAGCTGGTCTGGGTATCATGAAGCTGCTTATGGACTGGCTCTGTTAACTCAGCGTTTTCCATCCAGCTCCGAGTGTGTTGATGTGAAAAAGGACGAGTTGTTCGTTCCAACATCATCATCATCACTAGGGGTGTTTAAGGGAAATTGAAATGATGTAACTCATATCTAAGTCTACTTTAGCTCAGTTTTAGGATTTCTTTTTATTTCCTCTTCTGATATCCTTTAACACAACTCCATACATTTCAGTCCAATCACTCGTCACAGATCGATCACTGTGTTCCATCATATCAATCCAACGATTTTCTTTTAGCACAGCAGCTTTGTTGTTCTGACCTACAATGAACTCAGATTTTAACCAGAAGGTGAATCATAAAGCAAATCAAATATAGCTTATGACTTTGCAGTGATGCACTTGAGTGTTATCTGTCCTGATGTATCAGATCAGTTTGATCAGCTGCTGCGACCAATCAATATAACTGCTACCCAGTAAGGGGCGTGTCAGTCAGTGAGACTTCCGCGAAGGATGCACTGGTGTATACCAAGTGTATAACAAATACCAAATATGTATACCAAAACATTTTAATATGGTTTAAACAGCTTGAACCAGGTCCCAACATGCAACACAGTAATGTGTGTCCTTCATACCTTCATAGTAAAAATGCCTCTCGTAATCTCTCCAATACTGACAACAGAACCAACGTCTGAAGAAAAACTTGTCTTTGTGATCTTTATTAAAAGTAAGAATTACAGAGTGATCCAGCTGAAGGGCAGAGCTCATACACCAGAGGGCTGTTAGAGAGTCTGACCCAGAGAAACAGAGAAGACATTTAATGCTAGAGAATAATTGTGGAGTCCAACAGAAAAGCCTTTCTCAGCCTTGAGCCACAGTGGAAACTCCTTTCTCACAGGAAAGCATGAAACAAAACAATCTCACAGAAGGTCATTATATCAAAACACTGGTACACTTAGTGGAAATTATAACACCACATAAGATGAGCAAAGAACATAAAGTAATGACATATAGAGGATTATTAAAAGTACAGACAGGTAAAATCTTTTTGGGGGTGGTGATGGCGCAATGGATAAGACTATCCCTGAGCAAGACACTTAACCCCTAGTTGCTCCAGAGGCGTGTGACCTCTGACATATATAGCAATTGTAAGTCGCTTTGGATGAAAGCATCAATTAAATGAATAAATGTCAATGTTTCTATTACAGATCCCCCTTCGGCCGTCACATGGTCACATTAAGTTTATAACAAATTGTCAGTTCATCAATGAATGCTCTCATCTTACTGTTTAAGCAGACACATCATTAGTAGACAAAATAAATGGTAGAACAGAGACATTCTTGAGTAGTGAGCAAGCTAAGAGATCAAAACATATTTAATTTAAGCAGTTTGGTCTAAATCATCAATGTCGTCATTGTCATGATCAGGTGGATTCAATCAGGAGAGGCAGAACAGGAAGTGACTGGATCAGCTTCCCTCAGACTGATATATTTACATTATATTTATATATTAACAACAAGGACACATTAACTGTTGCAAACAGTACAAACAACAGGCAGAAGAGATGGTGCATGGGTTGGTGCAGGAGCCACTTTGAGAGGTTTGTTCTGCTTCAAAGAAGAGCTTCCGCTTTCTAGGGGCTTTTCTCATTTCCCAAATTTGTGCCATCTCGATCCTCGACTCCTCGCGGCGTGTCCAAGTCCATCCCATCCTAGATGCAAGCTCGAGGAATAGAGGAGGAAACACAAGGAGAGGAGTCGAGGAAACAGGCATTTAACAAAATGACAGCTGCATCATCTGTCCACTGGTTGAGCTGTGATCTCTGTCAGATAAGCAGACCAACTCTTTGCACTACATTTACTCATTTGGCAGACGCTTTAATCCAAAGCGACTTACATTTGAGGAACAACATACACGCATCCACAGAGCATCAAATACAGCACGAGATCTACAACTGGCAATACATACTAGAAAGAGCAGCATTAAAGGCTACAGATCATATCTTCACTATCCAGTAACGTGTCTGTCAACATTATAACGCATCGAAACATCTTAAGGTTCCAATAATCATTATAGCATCTGTTGAAAACAGTCAGATCGTAACCTAATCATTCACTACAGAGAAATAAGCGATAGGATACATCAATCTACCCTCGCTAATAGCTCCTCCAGCAAGCCTCCTCGATCCTCGATGTACATTTTAGGAATTGAGATGTCTTTCAAGATGCAACGCTGAGATCGATTTCTGGGTCACAGGCTCGGGGATCAAGGAGGCCCAAATTTGGGAAACGAGAAAGGCCCTAGAACTTCGTCAGCTGTCATCAAATGACGTCAGTCCAACACAGTCACATGATAACAGGTGGTTGTATTGTACTGATGCTTTGTGAATGCATTTGTGTCTTTTAAGGGATCTCCTTTTGGAACATTGGCCAGAGCTTTACGATGTCACTGCAGTGTGAACACGTTGGTGGATTTTTAGGGCACCTGATTGAGCGAAAGATTTCCCACACTGTTCACACCAGTACGGTTTCTCTCCAGTGTGAACACGTTGGTGGAGTTTCAGGTTACCTGATTGAGCGAAAGTTTTCCCACATTGTTCACACCAGTACGGTTTTTCTCCAGTGTGAACACGTTGGTGCTTTTGAAGTTCACTTGATGTAGTGAAAGCTTTACCACATTGTTCACAGCTGTGCATATTCTCTCCAGTGTGAACACGTTGGTGGATTTTTAGGTGACTTGATGTAGTGAACGTTTTTCCACACTGTTCACACCAGTACGGTTTCTCTCCAGTGTGAACATGTTGGTGGATTTTAAGGTGACTTGACTGAGTAAAAGTTTTTCCACAATGTTCACACCAGTGCGGTTTCTCTCCAGTGTGAACACGTTGGTGGACTTGAAGTTTTCTTGATGTAATGAAAGCTTTCCCACATTCGTCACAGCTGTACAATTTCTCTCCAGTGTGAACACGGTTGTGGACTTTTAGGTCACTTGATTGAGCGAAAGATTTCCCACACTGTTCACACCTGTACGGTTTCTCTTCAGTGTGAACACGTTGGTGGAGTTTTAGGTTACTTGATTGAGCGAAAGTTTTTCCACACTGTTCACAGCTGTACGGTTTCTCTCCAGTGTGAATACGGTGGTGGATTTTTAAGTGACGTGATTCAGTGAAAGTTTTCCCACATAGGTCACAGCTGTACAGTTTCTCTCCAGTGTGAACTCTCAGATGAATCTTCAAATATCTAGATGTTGTGAATGACTTGTCACAGTGCTGACAGGGGTGACGTTTCAGTCCATCTCGTCTCTACAGCAACAAAGAGAATCACAGTAAGTGAGATATCATGGTGAAGCGAGCCATCTAAAACCATAAATGACCTTTGAGCACAAATTGAATATGTTCTGTCTATTACATACTCAGTCATACACACCTAGTATGTACTGCATACTAAATAAATGATCAGTATGCTATTAGCATGTATGCCCGACTGTTCACACTTACGTACTCAAGCAAATTGTGTAGAAAGTGTGTAAATGCAGACAGCTGGAATTATTTTCAAAGCATTGCAGAAAATGCACAAGAGAGATGAATAGCCCGGAAATAAATCTCCTTAAAGAGCACACTTTTATTTTAATTGTTTCTGTGGTGCAAATTCTTCTGTTGTTTGACTAGATTTGGATTCATCCCTGAAGAGAACACCTCTGCAAAGTGCCACACGCCATCGAATGTAACCATCTGCCCACTCAAGTCGGTTACGGCAACGAACTGCAGTCAGGTCGAGACCCTGATGATGACGACGAGCATGCAGATGAGCTTCCCTGACACGGTTCCTGACAGTTTCTACAGAAATTCTTTGGTTATGCAAACCGATTGTTGCAGCAGCTGTCCGAGTGGCTGGTCTCAGACGATCTTGGAAGTGAAGATGCTGGATGTGGAGGTCCTGGGTTGGTGTGCTTACACATGGTCTGCAGTTGTGAGGCCGGTTGGATATACTGCCAAATTCTCTGAAACGCCTTTGGAGACGGCTTATGGTAGAGAAATGAACATTCAACTCACGCGCAACAGTTCTGGTGGACATTCATGCAGTCAGCATGCCAATTGCACGCTCCCTCAAAACTTGTGACATCTGTGGCATTGTGCTGTGTGACGAGTGGCCTTTTATTGCGGCCAGCCTAAGGCCTTTTATTGTGGCCAGCCTAAGGCACACCTGTGTAATACCCATGCTGTCTGATCAGCATCTTGATACGCCACACCTGTGAGTTGGATAGATTATCTCGGCAAAGGAGAAGTGCTCACTAACACAGAATTTGTGAACAATATTTGAGAGAAATAGGCCTTTTGTGTACATAAAGAAAGTCTTAGATCTTTGAGTTCAGCTCCTGATGAATGGGGGCAAAAACAAGTGTTGCGTTGTTGTTGTTCAGAGTATAAGTTGAAGGTTAAATTTCAGCGGAGGGCTGTAACGGTTCTGAAACGGAGATAAAAATCGCGGTAGACGTGTAGGCCTGTTTTGTATTTGTATATATTGTTTTATCGACAAAAAAGAATAGTACGATGACACAAAACTGCAGTAAAAGGTACCATTACTTTTATTTTTAAGCTAACAGAAATAACTTAATATTTAAATAATCCTCTGAAGTGTGATAATCAGTAGGTCAGTCATGTCAGCAGGTACGCATGCTTGAAGTAATTGAGAGTTGAGTGTTGTATGGTCAAAGAAACAAAAATAACAAGGAGCGTGGAGCATAGAGAACAGGGTTCCCCTACGCTCTAGCCCACAGTGCAGAACATATACTGGAGAACACCGGGCCCAGGTGGCACCATTAACTGATGATCTTAAACACACCTACTGGCATCTGCAACATAGAACACAAAGAGAGAGACATCCCAGCAGCTGAAAGAAATGGAGATGTCACAGTTGACAGTAGCTTATTCTAGGTCATGTTCCACCTTATTTTAGGGTTAATTTACTGCTTGAATCTGCTTCCTTTCTCTTCCCCCCACACTCACCTAGCCTCTACCTCTCACGGCAAACACGCCGGCTTGCTCGACCTCCTTCTGTCTGTCTCTCCCTGTATGTGTCCCTGCTGACTTTCTGCATCAGCAGTACCTTTCATAAAGTTGCCATGTTTAATAAACTCATCTGTGATTCAGTTTTCAAGTGCGCTGCAGGTGGGTCGAAACAAACTAATGTTAGTGACATCTGCAGTGGTGCGTTCACTGCTATCCGCTTAATGTAATATCATCTCTCTCTCTCGCTCTGCAGAATGCTAAAGGTTGCCAAATATACTTTGGCAGGTGCTACTATAGCTGGACGGCCCGTCCAAGTAAACAGGATACAAAATTCTACACACAAAATGCCAGGTTCTTGTGATGTAAAAGAATGAGACAAAGATGAATCATGTCAGAACCTCGTCACCCTTTAATGTGACCTATAATGTGAACAATTCAATTAAAAAACAAACTGAAATCCTCAAGGGGGAAAAATTTAAACCTTACAATAACCTGGTTGCATAGCTGTGCACAGCCTTAGAATAATACTTTTGATTTTATTACAGCAGTCAGTCTTTTTGGGTAGGAGTCTATTAGCATGGCACATCTTGACGTGACAATATTTGCCCACTCTTCTTTGCAAAAGCGCTCCAAATCTGTCAGATTGCGAGGACGTCGCCTGTGCACAGCCCTCCTCAGATCACCCCACAGATGTTCAGTTGGATTCAGGTCTGGGCTCTGTCTGGGCTATCCACCACATGATCACACACATCACAAAATGTGCTTACATTGTAAAACACAGAATTCAGAAAAATTAAAGGGGCAGTATGTAGTTTCAGCAACGCTGAAATTGTTAGTGAGCTAGACTGAATATTATGACCAGATTGTGTCACACTGTATAACAGTTTGACCACAGAAAGTAACTTTACTGAAGTGTTTGTTCGATGGCTCTTCTTCTGTGTTTTGTGTCCGTTTTGTTGCAGTATTGTATATTATGTGGGTCATGTTAGTTACAGCGACTGAGAGGTGGAGAAGCTGTGTACCCGAGTATCGTAAACCCCCAATAAATCTAAACTGACTGTTGCGAAGCAAACAGCGGCAGGTCCGAGCTAATTTATCTTTAGCTGGCCAAGTCCCTGTAGGCTAGTAAACAACAGTTACCTTATAAAGACCTTACTGTAATGCAAAATCCCCCACCCCAAAGTCCCATTCTGAGCCAGAAAAAACCCTGAACACCCTTACACTTTAATAATCATGCATCTTTTCTCTGTCATGTTTAAAGGGGTTCACACCTAAAGGTCCGGTTATTGAACAGAACCAGGATCATCTATTGATTGTGGTTCCTTAACGGAATAAAGGCTTCACATAAACTCTCGAGGAAACCGAAGCCTCTTCGGGACAATCCAGTCCATGTTTCTCAGGACCTGGTCCAATGTGGTCCAATGTGGTCCAATTATGTAAAAAGCAGTGAAATCGCCTTTTTTGTATTCTGAAGCATAATAAATGTTTGAAACCCACTTTTAGATTTGTCAGACAGTGACGGCTTCATTTAGCTGGTGATAATCCCAGATGTATCGCAGTAAACCGGAAGCTAAACTGTCACACGGAACAGGAAGTTAGCTTTAGCTTTGTCAAGCTAGCTAGCATGCTAACACCCAGGCAGCAGGCTACCTCCTGCTCCTCCTCCTCCTGCTCCTCCTCCTGCTCCTCCTCTCCGGTTCCGACCGTCACATTAAGTGTGGGTTCTGTAGAGATACGGGGTTCTGATGGCTCCACTGTTGAATCCTGCTACATTACATCTTGTTTACAGTCAATATGAAGCTACGTGTCGGAACCAGGCCGAGCTAACGCCACGTTAGCTTCTTGTTAGCTGCTAGCTGTGTTCATGAACACTGACCTGAACATCGGTGCTATCAGAGCTCGAGCCTGCTGTTTGTCCTCCGGGGACGTTGTTGCTCCGGGGCTCCGGGTCCTGGTTGTCCTCCTCCATCCCGCTCTCGGTCCTGGTCTCTGAGATCCAGCAGGTCTCCTCTGGGACTGACGCGTTGATCAAGTCCTGCGGCCCGCGAGACGTGACGGAAGTTGAAAACGTGATGACGTGTATCGGCTCCCCTGAATGTGTTTGTGGTCTCTAAAATATTGACAGCGTGTTTATTGTGATTAATTTCTATATTTCTCATGATCCATGGATAAATTCAGACTTCACGGTCATCCTTCCGTCTGGCTGGATAAATATTATTTAGCAAAATTCTTCCCTCTCACGGAGAAAAGAAAGCTCAGGTCGCAAACAGCTGTTGTGCGAAGCAGCCTAATTGTAGCAAAATGGCTCCACGTGATAATAATATTAACAAGCGTATTTGTTATTATTATTATAATAATAAGCCAAACATGGCTGATACCTTCACGCTGGCAACTATTAATGATTCAGCAGAAAGAATCACAGTCTGCTTTACCCCCTGGGTGGAAAATATTAAGCCTACTTGATAACCAAGATAAAAAGGCAGATAAGGTAGACTACCGTAACATAACAAATCAATCTGTGGTGGTCAGAGTTGATAATGCAGCAGGCCGCCACTAACAAACCCGGGTCTGTTGAGATTATCTAGCTAAATCATTGCCTTTATAAAGGCCAGGGTGTCGGCATCTGAAGCAAAATGAAATCATGATGGCAAATTATAACGTGAGCCTACAGGCTGCAACATTTTCCTCACTTTGATCAGGTTTCTAGACTAGTAACACAGCTATAGGCCTGTGCATATTAGCAAGTTATGGCATATAATAGAGGAAAAGGTTAATAACCATACATGGTGATTTCTTTTTTTTTTATTGTAGAAAACACAAATAGCTTATTCCAACTGTAGGTTTCCACAGAATGAAGCCTTAGCTTGACGCTCCTCTCCCTTTGTCCAAATCCACATCGATAAATCCACATGACCACTCCTAATAATAATGTATGCATTTACTCGGTTAGCAGCAAAACATCAGCGCAGGGAAATTACAGACAATAAAAATGATTAACGACAAAAAGGGGAGAGGGAGAGAGAAAGAAAGGTCAATAAACTGTGTGGCTCCACTCTCTGCTTTCCTGACTGTCCACTAAGGAAACTTTATTATAACATTTATGCTTGTATGTAAATATATATCTAAATAATTTCAGTTTATAATAAATGCATTACTGATCATTTCTTCCTTCTGCTGCTCGGTCCTGCCTCATCTGCACATCCATATTTACCGTCTCTGTTGCAAAACCCTGGGCTCAGTTCAGCCCCAGAAAAACGTAGCAAACGTTAAACATTAAGTAAATCTTTAGAAACTGAAAAATGTGAGTATTTAGGGACTTTAAATCTGTTTAATATAAAACCATATGAAACTGTAGGCTTTTGGCTGTCCCTTCTCTTGCTTCTCCAAAATCTAATGTCAGAGGACAAAAAATCATTTTCAGAAAATAATAATAAATGATTGTATTATTTTTTATGGGTGTTTAAATGAAATGCTTCAGCACCCCTAAAAATGGTCTAAACCCTGACACAAAGACTTCACAACCGCACACAACATACAGTCTACACCATACACTTACATTGCATTGCACGAGTAGCTGTATGAGACTGTCTGAAATAATAATAATAATAATAATAAAAAGTAACATTGAAACCACTAATGATTCTGTTCAAATTGCACTTGGGTTCATAAAATAATGAGCAAATAAAAAATAACCACTAATTCTAACAAATGTATAAACTGATTAACATGTATCTAGTTGTGTCATGCATTGTAAATAAATAAATATATTAAGGGTCTATACATACAGTTTGTTTATAAACATCAAAATGTAGCTTTTATATGTTTTCTAATGTCAATAATTGAATAACGTTTGCAAAATTCACATCATGGGATCACTAAAGTTTCAAATATGTGCATTTAAGACCTTTCTCCTGTTAATAACACGTGGTCGTTTTCTGATAAAACAACATCATGTTAGTTTTATGTAATAAAAAGAAGAATAACTGATGTGTTGTTGTAACAGTTAACACTCTGTTCTGTAGCAATAACATTAAAACTGTTTTAAGGTTAAAAGAAACTTGTTTAAGTTTCCAGTCATGTTGACTTGAGCTGAACTAAACATGCCACGACCTGCTGAGAGGGAGTGAGAACACCACTGTAAAAAAAGGGGTGTGCTGGATTTATAACCAGAGAATCACTGAGAAATTTGAACAAACAAACAAGTTACAACAAACCGTCTTTGTCTTTGGAGGATTTATCAACAGAATAACAGAGAAGTATTACAACAGGAAATCATCTGGACCAGCGGTTCTGTCACGTAGGGCAGCATCTAACATCTGACCCAGAGCAAAGAGATGCATCATCATTTAGACAGTCCAGGTTTCTGTGTTTGATTTGAGGTGGGACAACACAAGGTGCTCAAAAGACTTCATAACCACAGAGGTCAGGGTGACGGGTCTGTGGTCATTTAGTCCTGTCCCCCTTGTCCTTCCAGCAGTTGTTGTCCCCTGATAGAGCCTCTGCCTCCAGTGCTTCCTCCTGTGGCCCTTAAAAAGTACCCAATCTCCTGAGAGAGCAGTAGACAGGTTGGGTCATTATCTCAGCATTTCTTCATCACAGGCTGTAGTGGTGGGTAGAGAGTGTCTGACTGGACCTCTTCCTGTCTGTGGCCTTCTGACAAATAGGATTTCTAATGAGCTCAGACCACATTTATTCCAAGTTCAACTTCTTGATTAATCGTCCAGCCCTACTTGTGGCCATTGATGTTACTGGAACTGCTTCTTCTCTTAACCAGAGCAGAGTGTGTCAATACAGCCTTGTATCCATCACCATCTTTACTTTACAGTGTTCTTGGATCCCACTTTAAGGGCCTGTAGTCAGTCAGCCGACTGCAGGTGTGAAGCCATCTGCCCAAATCCTTCCATTTCCAGTCAGCAGATACAGCCAGTGCCACATGTGAGCAAAAGTCCCCTTGAAACAGCTGAGATTGGGCAGGACAAACAGAATAAGCAGCAGCCTTGCTTGTCCAATAAACAGGCTGTAAGCACAGTGGCAGACACACTAGATGGCGCCAGAGCCCACTCAGACATAACTTAGTGCCTCCTGACTGTATTTCACCATTTGAAATGGAAACTGCAGTCTCGTAACTTTTAACCTCTCTGGATGTTCGGTCAGAACAATGCAAAAATAAATAATAAGATCGCATCCCATCAAGTTAATGGGACAGTTCTCTGCTTCACTGTGTGTTATTGCAAGCATTATTTTGTCATAGTCAGTTAAAGGTTGAGACTCACTCACTGATGTGTGCGACAGGCCGGCCCTTCCCCAGGGTCCACCCAGCCTCCTCTCCACCCTCTCAGATTTTACATGACCACTCCTCCTCCAAGTCTGAGGATTCAGACAATCCGCCCGCTGATGTCCAGTTTTCCTGCAAATTGTGGGAGACTTCTGTATCATCACCTTCACCGTTAACCCCAGCGCTGGACCAGAGTGCGGTCTAGACCTGCTCTTTTATGAAAAACGCGGTGATATAACTGTTGTTGTGATTTGGCGCTATATAAATAAAATTGAATTGAATATCGCTCTGTTCCCCGTGCAGCCTTGGGACTCTGATCACTGGCTGGTTCATCTCATCCCGACTAGAGCTGGACGATATGGCCAAAAATGTTTTCACGATAAATCTTCTTTATCTTTTGAGTTAAGGCTGATTTTTGCTCCTCAGTGAATGTTGAAGAAACCAGATGGTTAATTGTGGTTTAAACTCTTCTTTATGGTCAGAACGTGACATTTGATTCCAAACAGTGGATCACTTCACAAATCTGAGGGAGAACATTCAAAACATTTATGATAAAATCTTTTTCAACAAATATGCACAAGTAAAATTAAGTAAAGGCTTTTTTTTTCTTTATTCGTGTGATTCAAGTGAATAAAATCAGACATTTATTGAATATTTATTGAACATTTGTTATATTGTTATTGAAAAAAATTATATCGCAATAATTATTGTATTTTTGTATTAGTAAGCACATCGTGAGCAATGTACAATCCTGAGTCAAATTTATTGTACACATACCAATAAAGCTGATTCTGATATTAAGAAACTATATTTACTTAATTATTCAGTAAAAACATATGTTATTGTGACTTGGCCACTGACAGATAACATGGAAAATGTAAACCATGAATGTGTAACGTGTGTCTAGCCCATGGTCAGATTATGGTGCTTTAATAGCGGTGCTGAAATACATCTCAGTCATGACAGCAACAGTTACTCACATAATCATTTCCTCTTTAGTGGTTTTGCCTACAAAATAAAAAGGCAAGAAGCTTGTTTATTCTGAAAGACATTAAAGAGGTGGTATTCTGCTTTTTCCTCTCTCCTTTAATGAGTTATAAACCTTTTTTGTGCATGTAATAGGTTTGCAAAGTGAAAAAGCCCAAAGGGAGTTCCCATCTCCCACAGAAAACTCTGCTCTGAACTGAAAACAGCTCGTTTGTAATCCTGTGACGTCACAACGCTCGCCAAGCGGCTCCTCAGAAACAGTGAGCTGCAGCACACAGCTCTCCTCTCCCTTCCAAACACTAGCTACCCTCCAGGCAGTCAGTGGACATAAAGTTGTTCCTGTGATGTAGAGACAGAGCTCAGTTAAAACTTTATGGATACAGATTAATAACTCACCGCTCTGAAACTCTCGCTCCAGTCCATGTTGCCAAGCTGGTCGGCAACACGTAGCCTACAGCTGAATCCGTCCTTTCGCTGACCCGCCTTTCTCTGCTTCTGATTGGCTAGTAGTCCTTAACTAGGAACTGAGCATGTGCAACTCCCAACAAAGATCATATAGAGACAAGATGTATCACTCCATAGCTAAAACGAAGCCTTCAACACAGGCTGAAAAGAGGAGCTGCAGCAACGAGCAGTATGACAAAAATATGGTGTTAATTAAACCATGTAAACCTGTTCTGGTACAACCTCTACATAGGATTTTGAACCTGAAAATGATCATAATACCACGTCAGAAAATGTGATTCC